ACTGGGAGAAGGGCAGAGCCATTATAAATCCCAGAGAGAAAAGCCAGAGGGTCTAGGAGAGGACCTTGGAGAATGACCCCAAAGAAGGATGACTTGGAAATGTCACAGAGACATTAGAAGAGGAAGACAGAATTTCAGGAGGTCGCAGGTGCTGAACATCATCAGATAGTGTCCATGTCAAGAACAGTGGTGAAACCCAGGTCATTGGATTTGGTGTCTGTTGGGCCACAACGACCTTGGGAAGCAATTTCACACAGCCCCTGGCATGTGGGCACAGGGCCTGAGGCAACGAAGATGCATGCAGCTGCTAGATGAGACACATTTGTCTTGACACCAGCAGATTCAAGTGAAGGTTTTTTTCAAGACAGGGAAGCTTTGTGAATGTTTATTATAGAGAGCCTGGGGAAGGAAGCTACTGAATAGGTAAAAAATCAACATCACTAGCCTGGTGGAAAATTGTGTTTTGTTTGGATAAGTCTTAATAGCATCTTTTCTTTCAAATTTTACTCTTTTATAAAAGGAAGTATTGGGGGTGCTGATTGGCTCTTCACCTGTCACATTTTGGCTACAAAAGAAAGTTACAGAACAAGGTGGAATGTGAGACAAGTCACAGTGGGACTGATAGCGGAGGACTGTGGGAAAGTCCTTCCCCTCATCTCCCCACTCCCATCTTTCCTTGCATACTCCTGGCTCTATCTCCGTCAACGAGCCTGTTTCCCGTTCTTGGGCGTCCTTATTATGTACTTAGGTGTTTTCTAATAAGGGTTAAGGTGGGAACTCTCCCTGAGGTTTTTGCATGTTTAAAAGTACCTCTCTGGTCACAGGGCAGGCAGGATATGTTCTGTCACCACCTCTTCTTCATGACTCTTACGGACCCAGAGCTTGGGTCCAAGGAAGCATCTTGAATTATGGAGTGAGATTAGGATCCAAATTTTTATATTCTTCAGACATTTCCCCAGATGTCCCAGTATTATTTGTTGACGAAGCCATCAATTCCCCACAGATTTGAAATGCCACCTATATCATGTACTAAATTCCCAGATGTGTTTGGGGTCAGTTTGTGAGCATACTGTTCTGTTTTGCTAATCCACCTGTCAGCTCATGCCCTGTCCCAGTCTTTGAATGACTGTAGCTTTACAATATGTTTTTACTATGTCATAAGGCTAGTTCATTCCCAACCTTTTCGACTGTTCTTGCATGTTTATTTTCCTGTGTATTTTAGAATCAGTTTGATTATTTCCCATCCTCGATGCACCCCCCTCAAAGAAAAAGAAAACCTGTTCGTATTTTTGTTTAGATTGTGTTAAAATTACATATTAATTTAGGACGAATTGATACCTCTATAATATCAGACTTATTTTTTCAGGCCTTCTTCTGAAGTATAGTTTTTGAAGGTTGTCTTTCTATAGCAGAAACTGCTTAAGTTTAGTCCTAAATATTTTATGTGTTTTGTGGCTATTATAAATAAGATTACTTCTATCATATTTTCTGAGTGTCATTTATATATAGACCTTTTTTTCTGTTTAACCCAGCCACTTTACTGAATTTCATCTGCAAATAATCAGTTGTTTGTAGGGCAAAAAATAATTCCAGTGTCCAATAGTCACTTCAGCTACGTCCACAGACACCTGGAATGATGCTAGTCTTCACATCTATGCATTCGTTATTTTTAAATTTATTTGTACCTTGAACTGTGAAATACTTTCAACATTCAGAAAATTATCAAACACTGACATACCTGTCATTCATATTTAACAGACACTGACTTTTTCCCCTATTTATCAGCTCTCTGCTTTTTAAATGGAAAACCCCTGGTGCAATGTTGCAGGTGGACCTCAAGCCGCTTCCCCACTTTTCCGTCTCCTGCTCCCCTCTTCCCAGGGCAGCTCCGTGCTGGGGGGCTCCGCGTCCTGCACTCCCTGCTGTGTATATGTACAATGTATAGATGTAGCTTTGGTGTTTTAAAATGTATGTTGTAAGGCGTTTTCCAGTGTTGTCCTGAGTGACAAATACCTGCCATTATGGATCATTTTCACCTTTATGGAAGGTTATGGGACAGAAGGTCAACAGGCTGCCTAGTACTCGCGTGAAGGAAGCCGCTGCTCGCCGCCAGGCCTTACCGGTTTTCAACCCGCGCTGTTAGGTGGTGTGTAGGACCAAGAACTCAGCTGCTTCACTAAAGAAGGCCCTGAAGGGAGCGAAATCGGGGGTTGTATTCACCACCACGGCCTGTTCTCCACGGATAGCTCTTTATCTTGTGGAAAAACAAGGAAAAACAAAAAAGGGTTCTCAACAAAGGCTCCTGGACTTGAGGGGGTTTGAGCGGGAAACCCCTCATTGTTCACAGGCCGAGCAGGACTTGTACAGACGCGATGGCCCCCGGATGGGAGCGCGGCCTGCCCGGAGCCCCAGCCCGCCGGGCGGCGCACAGGGACAATCAGAGGAAGTCCGCGCGTAAACTGCGTGCGAGGAAAGGTGGCTTTGCCATTTGCCTTTTTCTGAGCAATTTAACTTCCTAATTACACGATCCAGATTGTCTCGGAGGCTATGTAAACCATATGTTTGCTGAGCGCCGGAGACAAACGTGGGGAAGTGCAATCAGCATGGGCTTCCCCGGGGAGGGGGCTCTGGCCAGCCGGCTGGGCCTGCCCTCTGCCTGCTGCACGGGAAACAGGGTCGGCCCGGCTGCATCTGGCTACAGCTGCGCCCGCGTCCTTGTGCTCAAGCACATATTTTAACACATATTTCATCTTCGATCAGCATGAGAGAGATAGCGGGTGCTGCCTGCCATCAGGAGGAGGAATTTCAGCATTGAGCAGATCTGGAGAGCGGAAAAGGCGGTTATTTAGAACCTGTAGGAGACAGTGTGTGTGAGAGCCCGGGCAGTGAACAGGCCCCAAGAGTGAGCTGCTTCTCAGTATTTGTTTTATTGGGTTTGAATAATAGCTGACAAGGATAAGTAATTTACTACTGTTAAATAAAAGCAAGGTTTTTTTAAATATTAAATTTATTGAAAGAGTAGTGAGGAAGTTGTAAACGTTATTTATTATGTGGTGAAGAAGTTTACAGGTCTGGATAAAATAATGATATTGGATGATTGCTCTTGAATTCATTAAAAAAAAAGGCAAATATTTCCTGCTTCCTGTTTTGGACTCAGAAGTCAAAACAGTGGGAAAGATCCCTTTTTAGGCACCTTGAATGCCACAGATGCTCAGGTGTGTAGGAACGGATCCTGGAGGCGAACTCTCCCAGCTATGAATAGAGCGTGTAGCTAATCATCCAACCTGGGTATTTGCGAGAACGACAGGCAGAAACTGGGCCAACAGTCACCCTAGCTCTTCATGGCCTTGGAGTTGTGATCGCTGAAAGGACAATGAAAAACATTCTATTATAATTTATCTCCTTCTTCTGTCTCTAATTACCCCCAAACACAAAGATTCAAAGCACTGATGAAACACAATAGCTGGTATTATTTGTATTCAGGCAAACAACTGGGGAAAAGAGAAACTCTAAAAATTAAGAGGTAAAAAAAGATTTAGGTAGTTTATTCATATTAGTTTATATTAGTTTCCTGTGAACTCTTGGTCTTTGCTTCACCTAATAGGTGAAACCACTTTATGCTAAAGACTTCTTGGAATGTGAATCATCTTGAATGACTACTTTATAGCATGTACATTTCTTTACCCTCTATTTCTTTGGAAATGCAAAGAATACCCATTCAGTGTCATTGTTTAGGGCACTACCTAAACACCCATGCACACAACATTAGGGCACTTGGATTTTTCTGTCTGCAGCAGATTATTTTAACTGGAAATGAGTGTCTTTGACTAAGGGGTAGTCTTTTTTAACTTGTGAGTTGGACCAAGAGTAACTAGGAGGTGCAGAGAGAGGACTAGAGTAAGGAAGCCTTCCTTCATCCTGTTTTATCCCTTGTTGTTGTTGAGGCTTTGCTTTTGCTTGTTTGTTTGTTTGATCTCGAGTCCTGGGCTGTTAAATCCATGTCTGATATATCTGGACAAATATTATGAACTTATTTCGTTCCTCCAAAAACTGACTGCTTTGTTTCTGGTAAACATGGTCTTTTAAATATATAACCTTATGCGTTTATAAAGTGTATCATCTTCTTTCCTCCTTTTGTGAAAATTGTGTGAACTTTGATAAGCCTCATTTTGATAAGAGAAATACTGTTGTATATCCTGAGCACCGCTGTGGTGGTCTGTAGGCATTTTCAGAAGAGCTTTGGGGATGAAGGTGCCCTGTGAACTTTTGATTAATACGGACTCTTACCCTGGCAAGAAAGGGCTTGATCAGAGGCAGTATTTTGCTTTTATATATAATAACTGTGTTTGCTGGTTTTTTAGGGGGCAGTCTATCCAACTGAATTTTGGAAAGATCATAGCTTGTCAAGGAGAGTTACACGGGAATAGTTTACAGGCAGGTGTCCAGCACCGAATGAGAGAATTTCTAAGAAATCTTGAGCAAATGGCTTGTTCTGAAACTCCAAGTATAGTTGACTAGGCATAAGGATTTCTCTTTTCCCTTAATGCCCCTGAGTTCATACATTTGTGTTTGTTATTAAATAAGGTAGCAATTTGATATTGTTCCTAGACTACACTTGAATTTATTGCATAGTCATCCACTTATTCACAGTTACCTATTGAGCTCTCACACGTTCAACGGCAAAGGTGCGTATTCGCAGTAGGGGGAAGCTGTATCTAAAAAGGGTTGCGTTTCTCAAGGAGATGCGGAGGTATGCGGGCAGTGATGGTAAGTAGGTACCGAGAAATCCAGGCATGAACGAGAAGGCATGAAGGGTTGAAGGGGGGAAGGAAGGTGGTAGAGTCAGTGCGTTGTGGGAACTCGTGGGTTGAAGACTTGTCGAGGTTGATTGGAAGTGGAGGAGCAGGCAGTGCTGATCAGAGTCGTGTTTGTCATCAGGACTACAGGCGACAGTCTTACCCACTGAATTATTGACATGTTTTTTCCCCTTTTCCTTACAGTGAAGAAAGTTACAACGTCAATGATTATTCCTTAAGAGATCAGCTACTAGTGGAGTCTTGTGACAGTGAAGAGCTTAATTCATCTCCGGGAAAGAACAGTTCCACGATGCTCTATTCAAGACAGAACTCTGCCAGTCACCTCTTCACTCTGACAGTCCTGAGTAACCATGCGAATGAGAAAGTGGAAATGCTGCTAGGGGCTGAAACACAGTGAGTATGGGCGGGAGAGGGTTTCGGAATATCTGGTATCAGCCTTTCCTGCCTAATTGTCCTTGGACTCCCTGGAAATAACAAACAGTAGCTACTATTAATTTTTCTGTTGAGTACCTATTATGTACCAAGCACTGAGTCTAGCTGCTTTGGACAGATGCTCATCTTTTCATTAGGATCATCTCAGTGTCTTGAGACATGGATATTATTTTTATCTTCATGAATCCTGATGGATGCATTGTACAGTAGCCCCCCCTTATCTACAGGGGATATATTCCAAGAGCCCCAGTGGATGCTTGAAACTGCGGATAGTACTGAATCCTATATATACCATGTTTTTTCCTATACATACTGATGATAAAATTTAATTTATAAGTTAGACACAGTAAAAGCTTAACAACAATAACTAACAATAAAATAGACCAATTTTAATAATATATTGCAATAAAAGTTATGTGAATGCGGTCTCTCTCAAAATATCTTATTGTACTGTATTCACCCTTTTCCTTGTGATGATGTGAAATGAGATAATGCCTACACGATGAGATGAATGACGTAGGCATTGTGACACAGCGTTAGGTTACTATTGACCTTCTTATGATACAGCTGCTAAGTGAGTAGCTGGCAGGGAGCATATGCGGCATGAATATACTGGACAAAGGGACAATTCACATCCAAGGCGGGACACAGCAGAACAGCGTGAGATTTCTTCAAGCTACTGAGGATAGCATGCAACTTAAAATTTATGAATCGTTTATTTCTGGAATTTTCTATTTAATATTTTCAGACCTCAATTGACCACATGTATCTGAAACCACAGAAAGTGAAACCACAGATAAGGGGGGACTGCTTTATTTCAGGTGGTGTGATTTTATAATTTGAGAGTGGTTTACAAATTTTTTTATTTTAATCACTGATAAAAAATAAATGACCCATGAGCCCTAGGAATATGACTTAATGGTAGTTTGAGTCTAGGCCATAAGTTTTCTTAGATAATGAAACTGAAGTAATTTCTGAATCACCTCCCTTCAACCAGATAGCAAGAAGCCTAGTGATTCTCTCAAAAGAGATACTCAGTTGGGGGAATCACAGTGACAAATCCCCTTTCCTGTCCAGACTTCATGCAGAGGCTTAGCAGTCATCCTGTTTGTGCCTGGGGGTCTCTCGGCGGTCGGTGCCTAGTCCATCCTCACCTGGGATGAAGGGAAGGGGCTTCTTTTCAAGGCCACCCTCGTGATTTGGTCCCTGTAGAGACAGTGGACCAACTTGTTTGGGAACTGGAAACCAGCTCTTGGAACAGTTACTACAGGCAGGCGTTATGTTGGGTCAGAGGGTGGGTCAGCGGAGGAGAAGTCCCCCAGCTCTTTGTCCTGTGGCCTTCCTACCCCGCACCACCTCCACCCGCCTCCGCCAGGGTTCCCACGTGCTGTGATGGAAATGGGTCAGCAGCTGGTGAATAGCCATCCTAAGACTGTGGCAAAATCTTAGCGAAAGTAAAGCCAAAGAATATGTCCACTTTTTTAAGAGTATTTTAACTGTGTGCCTGGGTCATTAGAGACATAGGTTAAAAAAAGGTTAACATTAGAAAGCATTCATATAAAACATGAAAAGATTTTATATCTCTTGGCATCAGAACTGACTTCAAAGGCTGGAGAAAACCAAGAGGGACAGGTTTAGGTTAAGATATTTGAGGTTTGAAACAGCCAAAATAGAGTGTTCCAAGTGAACTTGACAGCGGAGAGAAGGGGAGCGACGGGAGGTAGAAGAGAGTAAAAGGGGGCTAAATGGTGACGGACGAGACTAGACTTGGGGTGATGAACACACAATACAGTGTCCAGATGATGTGTTACAGAATTGGACACCTGAAACCTGTATAACTTTATTAACTAATGTCACCCCAATAAATTCAATAAAAAATACATTCGATAATTTGTCAGAATATTAAAAAAGAAAGAAAAGGAGCTTCATCATATGTGTTTGTTAAGAAGACAAAGAAGTGCCCTTTCCTGAAGGTGCCGGAATTCTTGCATGGAAACTGCTGAAAATCCCTGGCGCCTTTCCGAGCCTGCCCCCTCTCCTTGTTGGCCCCTCTGGGGAGGACACTTTGCGTGGGTGTGGTGATTGCTGATGTGGGCAGGTGACCAGCCCGAGGCGCATCCAAGCCCAGGGCTGAGGGAGGCATTTCTGCAGCTCAAAAAGCGGTTAAGCCCCTTGGCCTGTGAGGACAGAGCGCGGCTTCCTCCAGGCGTGCCTCTGCTGAGAAGGGCCTTCACGATGCCCGAGCTTCGGGCTTTCTAAGGCTTGAAGAATAAAAACGTCTTAACCACCTTGGAGGTTAGTCCTGTCCACGTGTTCTGGAGGATTCTCAGAAGCGCGATTTCCTTTCATTGCTTGCGGTTGGTCATGGCGAAAGTGTGTCGGTTTTGCTTTGCGTTTTCCTTTTCTCTGTGTTTATAGGAAGGGTTTGTTTTTATTCAGGCCTTGCCAGCATATCAGCGAGCTCTTCCTGGCTGTTTTGTTTATAATTTATTAATCTCTACCTCTGTTTCTGAGGTTATGGGAAGAGAGCAGGGAGCAAACCGACGTGTCCAGGCCCTTTCCTGGGACACCCGGCAGGGCAGCGTTGTTCCCCGCACCTGGCTTTTGCTCATACCACGGCTGAATGGGAGTTCACTTCCTCGGTCCGAAACATTCTCAGAATATCTGGTTATGCCACCCGTAAACTCATGGGCGTGACTCATATTTGTAGTTCTTTAATTAATAGGAAGAGAACATTCCAGAAGGGGCATGGGGCAGATGTCTCCTTGGGTACAGAGGGAGTGACTCCCCCCTCCCCCCCCACCAACTTGGTTACAGTTCAAAAGTAAATAACTACGCAAATACTCTTGAGCACACAGATGTAAACTAGCATTGGTGTTGAAAGAAAGTATATTATAGCCGCATACACTTCCTTTTAAAAACAGTAGGCTGTTTAAGTCTAGCAAATTGGCCCTGGCCGGGTGGCTCAGTTAGTTGGAGTGTTGTGCCATATACCAAAAAGTTGTGGGTTCGATTACTGGTCAGGGCCCATGCCTGGGTTGCAGGCTTGATCCCCAGTAGGGGGCATTCAGGGGCAGCCAATCGATCATGTTTTTCTCGCATCGATGTCACTTATCTCTTTTCCTCTCCTTTCCTCTCTTTCTAAAATAATAAAATTTTAAAAAAGGAATAAACCAGGAAGAGGGTGGGTGGTCAAGAGGCCAGCAGAGGCCAGAGCATTTCAGAGCAGGGCTATCCCAGTGCATTCTGTGGGCTCTTAGTCTCCAAACCATTACTAGCCTGACGTGGGGGAAGCGGTTAGAAACTTATAGTAATTTGACATTCCTGCAGCGTCAAAGCGTGTAATTATTTTAACAGTAATTCATTTTTATTGGATTTCTAAAAACACTTGGTTCACAATGGGTTGGGTGGTGAGGACCATCTCTTCACCACAGATATTTTGAGACACACTAATCTAGAGCCATGTAAGCCATAGTAGGGGTTCCCTGGAAGGCTCGCGTGGAGGCAGGAGCTCCCATGAGGATAGCAACTCGGCCATGCTGGAGGGGTTGAGGGGTCTCCTGGTGGTGCCTTAGACCGCACCATGTATGAAGGGAGATGGAACTGTTATATTTAGGAGACAGAGACAACAGGACCGACACATGATAAGTTGGTGTGGCAGTGAGTGAAAGAGGGGTCGATGCTTTGGATTTTCGCACCTTACATGGAGTTCATCGTTAACCAGCTCCTGTGTGGCTTCCCTGCTCCCTGCAGGGCTTCCTAGTCGCCACACCCAGCAGTCCAGTCTCCTTTCTTCACCTCTAATGCCACTTAATGCTGCTGACTGACAGACCTCTCAGGCTAACTCCCTTTTGGATATTCTTTCCCAGCCTGTCCTTTGTGCTCTCTTAAGCTTTACGTCCACATGTAAACCACCAGAAATGCAGCCTGTCTGAGGCCAGGCATCACCACTACCCACCTTTCCCCAACACGCGTGGGCCTGTGAACGGTGCCATGGACACTGTTTCGAGTTACCCAGTCTGGAGACGTGGTGTCATTTCTGATGCTCCCAATCTGAACAGATCCATCACCGACCAGCTCCCCCTGTACTAAAGTCAGCTGCATCCTTCCCCATTTCCATTCCACTCCCTCCACCTGGACACTCCATACGGCACTTACCTCCTGAACCGCCGCAATGGCCTCCTAACTTTCTCTCCAATCGATTCTGCGTGGCTTTACGACTAAGTCCCGCACTCAGCCCTGGCTTTGTCCATGTCTCACTTTCTAATAGTAAGTTCCCAATAAATGCTTATGGAATGACCCACAATTAATATAACTAGCTTTTCTTTATGCAAAGCAAGGCAGAATGGTAGCCGCATGTAGGAAAATACAGCCTCTATCTCAGTCCCTGTTCATGTCCTTTTTGTGCCGCTGGAGCGAATTTTCTCTACGTTCACCTGTTTTTCAACATTTGCTAATGGAGATGGTGAAACGGTTTTTTGAATGCACATCTAAGCCCTGTATTCTGTTATATCTGTTTGCCTGTGAAAGATCTGAAGTCATTGTGCTGTTAATGAGACAGTAGCCTGTGGAAAACACAAAAGCTTACCCTTCATGAAAGGACAAAGGAAGAATGTTTTACTACTGTCCTTTCTTTTCCCTCTGGGCCTTTCAAGCGGAATGTGGGAGCCGGAGAGCCCCTTTTGTCTGCCTTCATTCAAATGAAGCCCAGACAGCTGCTGCTGGCACAGACCAGGGGCTGAGGCAAGTGGCGTCCTTGGCATCCTGTGTCCACAGTGGAATTTGGATGGCATCTGGGTCCAGCGTGCACAGTGATGGGACGCCAGGACATACTCAGTGGCGAACGCAAACTTCCTTCACCCACTGTGTTCAGCTTTAGTGTATAATCACCTTACACTGTAATCAGCGATCCTTCTCAACATTTCTCTCACAAGAAGAACCAGGAGCCTAGTGAACGTGGCTGGTCCTGTCGGCCGTTCAGACAGCCAACTTCTGGGCCTGCCGAGAAAGGCGCATTGTTTGCAGGGAGTCCTCTTCCTGCTTCTGTTAATGATTTAATTAACAGTGGGAAGTCAGTAGGATGGAATAAAATTGTGAATCGCTGACAGGCTCTTCTGGATCCTTTAAGAAAAATCCACAGTATAGAGATGACAATTTACATGGAAAAAATATATTTATTATAGGTTGTAGTATATTCTCCTCATTGACTCTGGAATCCATGTCCAAGAATGATCTTTTACTTGTACAGTGTCCTCAAAATTCTTGATCTTTTGTGATCCCTCATTACTGATCCCAGTGAAACAGGAGGGCAGGTGATAGTACAGGTGTTTCCTTATTCAGGAAACAATGGACCCACCGTAGGTGAACTCCAGGATTCTGGACCGGACTGGTCTCATGAGCTATTAGATATGACAAGATATAATTAATTTAACTTTATTGCATGTCACAAAGCCTAAATGTTAGAACTTTTAGTGGGTTAGGGTAATTACTTTGCTCAGGTTAGATTTTTTAAATTAGGCAAGTTGAGCTGGAGCCCAGCTTCATGGGCTTTGTCACACAGCATCACAATGACATTTTTTTTTACACTGTGGATTTTCTTTTGCATAAGTTTATTGAGTTCAACTAGTTGAATTGAGTGTCTGAATGAGCAAAAACAATGTCTCCACTACCCTCATTACAAAGTCTTGGAGAACTTTTTATCAAAGGCCATGGGTATAGGAATTTCAAGAGGAACCCCAGGTAAATGTGTAGACTGTGAGGAGGAACACCAGGGTATCTGGTCAGACGCCATGGTAAAAGGATACAAGGAAGGTTAGGGAGCAGCCAGGGTCTCTTTGCTTCTGTGGAAAGATCAGGAAGAACAGTCAGAGGTGAAGTCCTTGGTGGACATCCATTCAGTTCACCCCATCCACAGCCCTGCTTCTTCGTTTCAAAGCCGACTCTCCACTTTCTCAGTATGTGTCTGTCTTTTCTAACAGAAGTCTGGAATTGAAGGAAAAGTCCCGTTTTGCTGTGTTTTCAACCTTTGTGCAATCAGGTTCAAATGGACTGTTTTTAATGAATGATCTGAGAGGCAGGATAAGGTGCCACCACAGCTGACTCCTGCGTAGGGAGCTGTAGTTGCATCATTTCAGGCCTTGCGTAGGGAACTTGGGGGTTTTGAAAGGGTGGCATTTACCGATATTTATGTTAAAGGCATCTCTTCTCAATTCGGTCTTTTTCCTGCCCCTGTCACATGTGTGCAGAGCGCTGTGCCCCAGCCCATGCCCGCTGCACTGGATTTCGTGTGTTTGTTTTCTGTTCTGTCTGCTCCTTCTTGCTGAGGGCTGTGAGAGCAAGAGAGCCTGCTTTACTCCCTGGGCAGCCTCAGCCTCGCACATGCGGGCGCTCAGTGAATGTGGCAGAAAGGCGAGATCGGGAGAGCCTTGGAAGTCGATGTGCCCAGGTTGAATTAGGGCGGCCCTGCTTCTCTTGCTTTGTTTGGACAAAGGGAAACGTCTGTGAACTGGGCGTGGGGCGCGCTGTGACTTCATGTTGATTGTTTCATATTGTCCCCAGAGAGAATAGCTGTCTGAGTGAGCCTCGCACTTGATATCTAAATTTAATAATGGGTATGTCCGGGCCTGGTTTTTCTTGTTCTTAGAATTCCATCTTTTATCGAGTGTCTCCTCCCTGCTTGAGAGATGCTGTGCTCTCTGCTGGCTGACGGGAGGCAGCTCCTTGGCAGGCTCTTGGAGGCCCCGGGGGAAGTCGTGGGGTTCTGACAGCCTCTACTCATTTGAAGCCATTTCAAGAAGGGGCCCCTTTCAGAAAGGGCAACAAGGAGTGTCTTGTTCTGTCCTCTGGAGTCCCTGCGAGGGGCCGCCGTGTCTGAGAGATGCCATTAGCATCCAGGCAGCATGCCATGGAAGGGAGAGATTTCATCTGGATTTCTGGAAGGAAACTAGCTGCAGGGGGAGGCCGCCGCTGAAACCGGCCACTCTGTGCCAGGGCCGTGCCGTGCCAGGGAAGCCTTACATGCAGGCTGCAGACGGCAGTAGGGGCCGTGGAGCGGGGCCGCGGTGAGCCACAGAGGAGCCTGACTTGTGGATGTGGCATATAGAGAACGCACATGGGCTGTCTTAGGTTTCTCTTGGTGAACAGCCCTTCCCTCCGTAAGATATTTTGTTTTCAGTTGCCTTTGTACTTTGCAAATTCCAGTTGAGTTTGAGTAAAAAAATTAGATCTTACCCAACAAAGAAGTGGTATCATAGATTTAAGTGTTTGGGGTTATTTTAAAGGAAATTATGCTTCAGTTGTTCCTATAAAATCATCCTAAAGCTCTTTGTCCTGTGAGGGAGCAACAAAGTTTTAAAAGCAGGACAGCACCATGAGTTGCTGTTTAAATTGTGCATATTACTGCTTGACAGGCCGCTCTACCATGGCCGGCCTCTTCTTCTGAAGAAGTCTGTCTCTCAGCCAGCTGCTGTCTCCCTGCTTGCTGCCTCCTGTCAGTGACCCGTAAGCATCCACTAGGGAGCCCCGCCTCACGGGTCCCAGACCACCTGGCCTGGCTGTTTTACTGGGAGCAGGCACTGCACACTCCAAACCTCAGCTTTAGCCTCTGGGAGCATGGAAACAATCACGGTACTATTTTCTTCCAAGATTGTTGTAAAGATTAGATTAGATGGTACTTGCAAAATACAAAAAAAGCACTGTATCTGGCATGTAAGTGCTCTGTAAAACTGTTTAGAACAAGACCCAGTTCCTACCCTTCTGGAGTGTATGGCCGGGTGAGAGAAGCAGGCAAGTCAGTAAATGTTGAGGATCAGTGCGAGATGAGTGATGAGTTCATAGGTCAAAAGCTGTTCGCTGAGTCCCTGTTATGTGCCAGGGAGTGAGCTTTATGGATACGATGCCTGAGGCTTACAGTTGACCACAGTTGACCGGGGGGTGCAGAGGGGTGTGTGGGAACAAGATCGTCGGACTGGGATGGGAATGGAGTATGAGTTCATGAATCAGCTGAGGCCACCTGGAGGAGGTGAGGCTTGTGTTTTCAATATGGGGTGGATGTGTTCAACAAAAGAAATCAGATACGAAAGTGGACGCAACATAGGATTTCATTTCCATAAAGAACAGGATCAGCAAAACTATAATCTACGATGGTGGAAATCAGAAGAGTGGCTACTTACGGGAGGTTGTTGATTGGAAGGGAGAAAAGGAACCTCCTGAGGCATGTCCCCTGACCTCGAAACGTGTACGTGGGTGAACCTAAGAAAACACTCATGGAGCTGTTTATGTGTAAGATCAGTGCAGCGTTTTATTTTATGTATGTTTTTCAATTAAAACATTTTAAGTAGTGATTATGAGTGGGCCTAGCTCAGTAAAACAGAGGGCAGTGCGGCCATATTTGCGAGTGAGAAGAGCCAGTAGGGAAGGTATGGAACAGCCGCAATCCAGGCTGGACGACGTATGCTCTGTCTGGGTGGAGGTGCATGCACGTGGGGGTGACGATGGGGTGACTGTGAGAAGCATCTTTTTAGGTGCAAACTATTATGGGAGAAAAAAAATGTTTTTCAAGTACTGGGCATGAAGAAGGGAAGAAGGTAGATGGCCCTAGTAGGAGCTGCCCTTGGCTGGAACTGTAGATGTCAGAACTTAACGCGCAGTGTTCTCGCCCTTCTCCAGGCGTTAGGGAGGGTACAGGAGATAATGCATGTCAGGTGCTGTGTCTGCCGCACAGTATGGACTCAATGCACGCTTCTTAAGAGATTCCAAAGTGCGGATGTGTGTGTGGTTCATTTAATTGCCATCCCAATATTTGACTTTTCCAAGTCATAAACTGTATTATGGAGTAGTGCTTGCTTATCTGAAACTTTTGATCTTTTAGTTAAATAATTATTTTGTTTCATGTAATTATAGCTTGATATTGTAAAAAAGCCTTGGTCGTTTTGTTCCCTGAATTATTTTTGGCTGTACTCATTAAGCCATTTGAAGCATTTGAGAACAGTCTAAAAAAGGCCAAAAAATTTCTATTTCAATAAAGCTCATATTTGGCAATATTAGTTGTATGGGGGAACAAAGCAGCTTTAAGTATGTCAAGATTTTCATCTTTTCCAAAATGGTCTGAGTGGGGGGAGGGGAAGAAGAGGGCGTGGAGAGAGACTGATTTACTGGCATTTTTTCTCTTTTAAGGAAATTTACTTTTTTGAAATGTTAAACATCAGATTAGGAGTGCACAGAACATCTTTTTTATGATTGCAATGTGTAAAGGGAATCAACTATTAAATGTTACACCGTCACATGAGAAATTCCTCTTAATCAATAGCTAGCCAAATTCATTCAGAATCTTTTGACAATGAGTAGTTTTCGGCCTATTTCAAGTGCCCCAGTTTATCATTTTAAAATTCTTACCCTTGTTTTGAAGGCCAGCCCATACCTCTCTATGTATTTCTCCCCCGTTTTGGAGGAATGGCTTTGCATTCTAGGACATACTTCATTGTCTAAACACCTTGAATCTCTCAACTGGCTGTGCCCTCTGTGTTTAGGAGTGAGCGGGCCCGCTGGATAACCGCCCTGGGACACAGCAGCGGGAAGCAGCCTCCGGACCGGACCTGTAAGTAACTCTGGGCTGGCTGCTTTGCAGCGTGGACCGTGGAGGGGCTGTGCCCCCTGCTGGACAGTGGGGCATTCACGGTCCTCCAGGGTTTCCTTCCTGCTGCCTGCCCTGATCACAGCAAAACTAGGTGATCCCTGCTTTGGAAGCCAAGGGGTCTGAATTCAAAGCCAAGGTGCAGTCCTTCTTTGTTGTATAAATGCGGTAAATTGTTGCATATCCACTCCGAGCCTGTTTGACCTGCAAGTCAGGTGCATCATGATATATATACAACACAGGGTTATTGTGAGGCTGGAGTTAAATAATATACATGGAAAGCCCTGCTGGACTGTAAAGCTCTTTAATTTGTAGCTGTGGTTTAGGGTCAGTGGCCACGTGTTTAAGTCATACTGTCTAAATCTAAGCTGAAATGTATTTTTAACCTTAAAGAAAATGGCTTTATCATTCCTTTTGACTATTTTTTTTTTAATTAAAGTGATAATATAAACAAAATGTATTTCATTCTGTAGAGAACTAGGAACCGGTGCGGCCCAGGGTGGTGTATCAGCGCCTCAATGTTAGCGTTGATGTCATGCTTCTCTGGATGGTTCTAGCTGGAAGGTCAAGTCCAGAGAATAAGGGCAACAGAACTGGCTGCCTGGAACACTCAAAACCCGTAGCTTTACGCTGAGAGCCAAAGCTAAACGGATTGGTATAAAAGTTCCCAGAATCAAATTTTGTATTAAAAAAAACAAACAAATTAAGATGTCTCATCAGTCAGTACCAAGTCACTGAAGATGATGGTTTCATTAGGATTTAGCATAATGAGGCAACTCTGAAATGTTTCCCAACTTTTGGTTGGAGATCTTTTTATTCCTAAACCTCTTTGACAGCTTCCCTGTGCTGCTACTGATGGGCTGGGGAGGCACCTTATATAAACGCCTGGAGAAGTGGATACGCTGTGGTTTAATCATCAGTTGCATGCCCTGAGCACATTACCTGACCTGTCTTATTTCAGTTTCCCCAGTGCATATGGCTGTTTCCTGCTCCATTATGTGACATGACTGATGACTCCTTATCAAGGCTGTTATTGAGGGGATTCGTACATCATCAAAGGCTACTCTCAACTTTGAGCTTCTCAAGTTATAAAGCTCTTAGCCCAGTATGAGAGCTCTTGGAAGAGATTTTCTGCTTCTTGATAGAAGCCTAACTTGTTTCTGTCGATGCCAGCCCTGAGTTGCACAGAGAGACTGAGTACACGATTGATTTGTACCTGTTTTGTTTTGCCTCTGCTACTGGAAGCTCAGTATGTTCCCTTTCCTCCTCAGCACTGACCCAGGTAGAAATCATTAGATCCTTTACGGCCAAGCAGCCAGACGAGCTCTCCCTGCAGGTGGCCGACGTGGTCCTCATTTATCAGCAAGTCAGCGACGGTGAGTGCAAGGGTTCTTCCCGGTCACTGGTGCTCCAGCGCTCGGGGCCTGAAGAACCTAGAGTCCCCTTTTTGTTACTAATGCTCATATTCCATATCCCTCTGGTTTTCTCATATGCACCTGCCCCTCCTCTTCCTACCCTCATGGCTCTTACATGATTTTGCATAAGTAGAGATGCAGTCACATGGTTTGTTACTCAAAGGAAACTGTGACAAGTGTTCCTTCCTTCCCAGTGACTCCCCTGTGACCTAGACCTCACCTCCGTTTTTCCTTCCTTACTTGAAAAACAATCATTTTCCTTACCCAAAGCATCCTCTTTGGCAGCTCAGCCCAGGCTCTTATAGCCTCAGCTGCTCACCTTGGGGTCTCTGATCATGTTCTGCACCCAAACATGTCATTCACCCCCCTTGAAACCTGCCCCTGTTCCGCCTCGCCCTCCGCCTTTCATCGTTTCTGCTGCCCAGGCCCTCGTTGGAGCCCAGCAGAGCCAGGAGTCTCCCAAACACGTGCCGCTTCATGAGGCCTCTGCTCTTCTTTGCAGGCTGGTATGAAGGGGAGAGACTGCGAGATGGAGAACGGGGCTGGTTTCCTATGGAATGTGCCAAGGAGATAACATGTCAAGCTACCATTGACAAGAATGTGGAGAGAATGGGCCGTTTGCTAGGACTGGAGACCAACGTGTAGCCTCTCTGATGGCTTTCCTGTGACTGCGAGATTTGCACTACATCATGGCGGGTGGGTTGGTTCTGGGCTGGTTTTCTTGTTAACTTTCACACGGCCGACTTCATTAAAGGAAGGAAAACATTTGCCTTAACGCTTACCAGGTGGTTTTGCGCTCAGGAGAACGGCTACTGGATACAGTTAGTTCGCCAGGCTCAGTTTGTGCACGACCCTGTTGCAGACCTCCAGGTGATCGGAGCAGCCGAGCAGTCCAGCTCAGGGATCAGGCGGCCTTTGCTCCTGGCCGCACTGTGTCTGGCATAAAAAATGTACGTAAGATGCTGTATCCTGATTCTCTGTCCTCACTTAACCAGGAACGTGCTATCCCTGCGTAAGCTTCTCCTTTGTCATTTTCCCAGCACTAACAAGGTTCTTTATCTATAAGGAGTGCCCACTTTTGTAAATAGTTTTCCTGCTCTTACATTTTTAGGCCTGATTAGATGCTGTGTTGGTTTCAAAAGGAACTGCTAGAGTTCTGAAGGTGAGCAAAGTCTTCGTACACCTCTTCCCAGGAAAGGGAGATTGACACTTGAATTTCTGCCACCTCTTTCCTCATTAGCAGGCAAGTAAGGAGGCCTTACTTATTAAAAAAAATCCATCTCCCTCAATAGTGGTCTGAGACAAGTAAAGCCTAATAAAACTAAGCTACTCTAACGTAGAATTTAGATGGTTCACATATGTGAGAAAATCCTAAATATAGGACAGGGTTCCTACTTTAAAAAATAATCCCAAGTGAGCTGATAAATGGACGTGAGGCTGCTTTGCCTTCAATATGCGAGGTTTTTGACTGTTTCGACTCCCATTCATTTCCAAATAGGAAATGGGCTGAAACACACTTTAACACTCTCAAGGAAGATAAAATTAGGTAGGCCTTAAAAGGCATCAAGAAGCCAGAATGGTACTTAATTGAAACAGTTTGCCCTTCAGGGGAACCCATTTTATTTGCACTGAAGGCCTCTGGCTGGATTTGGAGTCTCTCTTTACTGCAGGTGTCTGCAGAATTTTATTTTTTTACAAGCGCAAGGAGAGGGAAAAGTCATCTAAAAGTATGTTTCATAAAGAGGGCATGAGGCTCGGAAGACTGAGAGGGGAGAGCTGATCTTTACTGACAGCTATGCTCCCTCCCTACTCCATTCTCTTCCACAAAGGGGTAAAACCTGGCAAAGGATACTTATTCAAGGACTCAGATCTGTGTGACAGGCCCCAGGTGCTGTCTGCCAACCAGTTACCCAAACTGGGAGTCAAGTGGCAGAAGCCCAGTGTATGTATACTAGGCTCGTGTGCCCTGCATCTTGCCAGCTCAGCAGTGAGCCAGGGTGGGGCACCCTGGGCCTCCTTGACCCTGGATTGCTCTCCTTTACTTGTGCATATATTTTTGGGTATAAAATACATGCCAGGTCCTGAGTTCCTTGAAGCCCAGAAGTCACAGCAGTGGGTCACAGCAAGAAATGTTTGGGATTGATAAAAAAGAAATGTGTCTCCTTCCTCTTGAATGTCACAGATGTCCTGGGGGAGAGGCTAACAAGTTATAATCTAATGTGATATTTTCATTTAGGATGGGAAGGGAAATGTGTTGCTTGCAAAGGGATCATTTTGTATGTTTGCTAATATTCAGCAGCAAAAAAGCAACTATATGAATCCTGTGAATTAATTTATAAGTTGAACAGTTTTGGAAGTGTGTATCTTATAAATCAAAGCCTTACTTAGCAAGCAGGCTAATACTCTTGTTTAGATGAAGTGTTTTAGGGCAGGTATTTAACACATTCACAATGTTTAAGTTCAACCTCGAATTGTTTAAATATGACACAGTATTGTTTTCCAACCTAGATCAGTTTCTAGAATAGCTTCTCTGAATTGTACGACTTTGTTCAGTGACCTGTGGAGAACAAAAATATTCACTTTTGTCCCAATGAATTGAGACGGCTTGTACACTTTTGGCGAAATATGTGAATTTATAAAGATTTTGTATATACTTGTTCATTTGTTCTGATGTGATTTAATTTACTGTAGGATACATTCACCTAAGTATATAATTTGCTGAATTCTTGGCCAAATCAGAGTTCTACTAAAAAGATACCTGTAGCTGACACTGAAGGGGACAGGTGTGTCTCCCTTGGGGACGTGTTGGCATCAGCTGCCCCAGGAGGCTGGAGCATTTTTAAGAGCTGGGCCATACTGTTTCTTCTGTTTCCACAAAACTGCATGACTGACTAGCTTCTCTTAATACACCTTGCTGACCGGTCACGATGGAAAGTAGCCACACGGGTAAGTTTCGGCTCGAAATGGTCTGTCAGCAAGGTGTTGAACAGTTCATAGTCCCCTAACTGCTCTGGGCCCCTGGACTGTATCTTATTCATTTTGGCCACCCAGTATCTAAACCTTTGTGCTTGCAAAATGTCACCAGCTTGTGAATCTTGGTGGAAAGCAAAGAATGGCTTCTTCTATATTAGTTTTCTTTTGCTAACAAATTTCTGTAAGACGACACTCACTTTTTATCTCACGGTTCTGTAGTCAGAAGTCCAGGATGGCACCATGGGGTTCTCCGCTTAAAGAATCGTCCTCCCTAGTCAGATGTATCCCTGGAGCCCCAATTACTTAACATATGAGGCAGAAAATCTAAACACATAGAAGTAGGTAAGACAACTAAGGAAGACAGCAAATAAGCACATGAAATATGCTCATCACTGATTGTTACAGAAATACAAAGTAAACCACAATGAGCTGTGACTCCACATCCACTAAAGGCTAAAATAACCAAAGCAACAACAAATTACAACTAAAAACGCCAGTACCTGGCAAGGATTTGAGACACTGGGAGCCATCACACACTGCCGGTGGGTGTGTAAAATGGTACAGCCACTTCGGAAATCAGTTTGCAGTTTCCTATAAGGTTAAACACACCATCTGACACAATAACCCTAATCAGGCATTTACCAGAGAAATCAAAACATCTACACACAGATTTGTATACACATGTTCATAGCAGCTTTATTTATAACAAAAACTGGTAACTCAAAGGTCCACCAACTGGTGAGTGAATAAACTAGTATAACGGTACAATGCAAACTTACACAGTAAAAAAGGAACCAACTGCTGATACATGCAACAACATAAGTATCTCAAAACCACTGTTTAGGGAAAGAAGCCAGACATAAAAGACTAGATACAATTCCATTTATTTGAAATTCTAGAAAAGGCAAAACATTAGTGACCAAAAGCAGATCAATGGTGGCCAGTGGAGAGTGGGGGGCAGGGGACTGACTACAAAGGGGAACAAGGGAAATATTTTTAAAATCCTCACCCAAGGATTTTTTTAAAAAATTGATCTTAGAGAGGAAGGGAGAGAGAGAAACATGGATCTGTTGTCTCCCGTATGCACCTTGATGGGGGACTGAACCCACAACCTGGATATGCGCCCTGACCGGGAATCAAACCTGCCACCTGTTGGTGTATGGGACAATATTCCAGCTTGCGAAGCCACCTGGCCAGGGCAACAAAGAAAATTTTTAGGTAACGGGAATGTTTTGTATCAAGATTGTGGTGATAGCAACTATATGACTTCAGACATTTGACAAAATTCACAGAATTATACACTTAGATTCTAAGGCTAATTTTATTATATATAAAAAATACCTTAAAGCTTAAAAAGAAGAGTATGTAAATATATCAAAATGGGTAAAACGCTTGTTAAATTTCTGAATAGTCTACAATGGGGATGTATTGTTTTAAAATCAGAATAAAAATATCATTTAAAAACAACATATTTTATAAATATGATTCTACCACACAATTGCAACTACCTAAAAGTAAACATACACAAACTCAGAGCTAAAAAGCAGAAGGAAAATTACCATTTACTTTGAATAAGAGGTACTAAGATAAATTCGTTCTAAAGCTTTATTTCTTAACTTACTTTCTAACTTTTAGGATGGACTTTGTTTTAAAAATTCAGTAAAAGAAAATAACTTGTAATTATTGGTATAAATTAGCAATTTTCAACCGGTGTGCAGCAAGAATTTTTAAAACATGCAGTACCTGACTAGTCAGGGGCACTGACCTCATTGCCCTTAGATGGTCAAATAAAAAAATACCAACAGCCAGCACAACAATAGCTGTCAGTGTGAATCAAAGTTATACCTAATTTTTGTCAGTTCGGCAAAAAATGTATTTTTTGGTGTGCGCAGAATTTTAGTAATTAGTTTATGTGCCATGAGATGAAAAAGGTTGAAAATCGCTGATAAATATATGTAGAGCTTCTGCCCTAGTTCGTGGATTAGGAAGGTGTCACACGGTCTCACTTTTTAATGATTACTCGGTGATTTGTTTACATCTTGTTTTTTCCATAAGTTTCTGTTTCAGGATCATTTGTTGAAGAGTCATCCTCAGTATCACTCAGAAAGGTGAGGCAAATAGATTTTCTTCTTTTAATTTAATGCCTTATTCTTTAAAACTACCAAATGACAAATAGTTCTCAGACCTGGAATACGTTTTCAATTCAGTAACACCCTATATTGTAAACAAAAGTGACAGAACAAAACTAGCACCTTCAATTAAAATTTTCATCCTGACAGCTGTAGGAAAGACATAAATTGGGGGTGATAACCGCTTCATCTCTTTGAATAGCTCATCTATTAAAACAATTCTTCAGGAACATTTTTTCCATTTATACGGAGACTAAATACTGGTTTGCAAACATGGACCCAATTAACTAGTAATCTCTTTTTACAGATTTAAAAAAATTAAAATTAGTAATTTTTTTTTTTTACATATTTTTAAAAAATATGTTCTGCCAAGACTATTTTGGCCAGCTATGTATAGTAAAAACAAAGTCACATTCTTTAGAACAGGACCTAATGGTCAACCTTGAGTTTAGGGGCAAAACTAGTATGCTACAACATTGTGACATGACTTAATATAAGAATTCAGTGAGAGGCGGTTACTTTTGGGAGACTAGCGAAGAGAATGGACTTAGGACACACAAGACATTCGAAACCTTGGAAGGCAATGGGAGGTTGACACACATTCCCCGAAATGGGAGCAGTACCTGAACCAATGCTGTTAACAGATCATTATGGCATTGTCAATAAATCCCAGTCATTGTAAGATACTCTTCCTTTGGTTTCTTTGTATTTACTGCAAGGCACAGTAAGATTTGTAGCTTTTAGGGTACAGCAGGATGCTTTTGATGTTTCTTTTTGCAGTATGTCCAGTACTACCACTTTTATACCTTTTATCAGACATATGGATCAAACTGTTAGATCACAAAATAAATGGTAGAAAACAACGCTCAGCAAACAACACTCAATGATGAATAGTTTGTGTTTCAATGAAAGGTTTATTGAGTCCATGGGTAGGGAAGGCAGTTTGGATAATTCAGCAGCTCACTAGCATATCAAGGACTGATGATTTTCACCACCGTCCCATTGAGCCAACCTTGTGACCATAAAATGGCTACAGGAGCTCTCAATCAGACAAGACAATCTCCAAAGAAGAACAGAATTCCCTCTATTAGTGGGGAAAATCTTCCCCAGATGCCCCTTGCAGAGCTCTTTTCACTGGCCAGGGAAGGTTCACGTAGTCAGGCCTTATCAGTTACTTACAAGGGGAGTAAGACCATGCAGGGTCCAACATCCTTGGGCACAAGGCTGCACAGAGGGGGACACCTGAACAAGTAAGGAGGGAGGGACGAGATGGCTGTTGGATAGTAACTGTATGTCACAAGCGCCTAGGGCTAAAAACACACAGTACATGTCACGCTAACTTCCACTGGCTAAAAGGGTAAAACAGGGCTCGGAGTATGGAAAAAAAGTGTAATATAATGGACTATTACTAAAAAAATATTTCAGGGACAAATAATACCTAAGATTTACTGAGTATACGCTACATGCCAGACACTAGTCTATGCACTTCATGTGCATTAACATATTCAGTCCTCACAATTGTTACCTGTACTTTACAGACAAGGAAAAGGAAATAGAGAAGCGAAGTGATAGAGCTGAAATCTGGACATAAGAGTCAGACTCCAGACCCATGCTCTCAACTGCTACATTATGCTGCACAAGGTGATGTAAAAGGGGAATGAATATACTCTAAAAAGTTATTTTTTAAAAATCAAATAAACCAAGGGGGAGGTGGAGATGTAGAAACCAAGCCAAAAGGGTAGCTGAGATTTACACACTATACATTTTATTAAATACTGGGTTTTATCAGAACAACTGAACTTCTCATAGAAGTTTCATTTAAAAAATGTGGCCGTGTTCAAATTACTACTTGACACTGCCATTTGGATAAGCATTCTATTTTTACTGGTTCTATACTTAGTCATTATGGGCCAAAAAATTAATTTTTTAAAGCAGAACAAAGGAATTTCTCAAGTGGTACAACACTTAGGATATATGAGGAATATTCCCAAAGTGTGGACATGACCACACAGAGTATATGATCAGAGAACACTATTTTTATGGTATATTTATAATAGCTACAGATAACATTGTGAACTCATGCACAGTAAGTCTTTACTACCTATTGAAGGTTTCTACCTCACACATGAAACTTACTCATGTCCCAGAGTCTGGCATCTAGCCAAACATTAAACTATGATGGGAAATGGCTGTCAAGTTGGCTTTCAGACCATCACAGAAAAGGTGTCAGCTGCAACATCCATCCTGGGGTCGTGGCGGAAAGTTCCTGGGAGTTGCTTTTTCCTGTGTTTTGATCAAGTCTGTAATAGCTGAGAGTACAGCACAGTCTCTGGATTTAGTGTCGTTCCAGTCGACAGGATGGGGACTTTCGATCTTTTCTTGCAGAAGGGTATCTAGTTCCTTTCTTAATTCCTAACGTTGGAAAAATTACACAAGGTCAACAAAGGCACATGTACAATAAACAAGTAGTAAATAAAAGTGACTAGCTGAAACAGGAACTTCATAAGCTATACAAAAGACTGACATACTTAGTAAGCAACTAAATTACAGTAAAATTTAAAAACTCAAACTTCCATCTCACTTAGACATTTAAAATGGTTGGTTGGTAACTACCTCAAAAAACAATTTTGAAAAACTATGAATCAATTTCTCAACACTATTTGCTCTGCTGAAATATATCAAGAGATGTTTACAAAACACGTAACAGCCGGAACAAAACCACAGGACTACATACTAACTTGCACGTCGACTGAAAGACAATCACGTAAAGCCAGTGACCTTAACGAGATGGGCGATTCTTGCTGGAGACTGGAAGACAATCCACTCGTCCACAGCGATAGTCTCCTGATCACTATCCTTCTGGATGGAGATGTCGCCTCCGAAGAACAGCAGGCAGTACGGGGAGACTTCCGTGCAGTCATACAAGTATATCTGTGAAGGGCACGGAAGCAAATGACCACGTTACGGAGTCCAAATTACTGCCACAGTAATTCAGAGAACACAGTTTCAGATTTTTGTTTCAATTCAAACAAGAGCATTATTCTTTAAGCAAAATATTTTCTGAGTCACAAAACCAAAACACTAATATAGTTGAAATTATTTTTATAGATGCATAAACAGAATCCCACTTAACAACCTAACCAATACTTAAAGGTACACTGACATGCCAACAAAATTCTTTGTACAGTGTAACCTCCTGTGTCCCAAGAAATGCCAGTATTTCCTGAAAGCATGCTCGGAAAGAAAATTATGCAAACCAAACACCTGTCCCAGTTAATTAAAATACAAAAATGGATCATGACATATGTGCACATTAAAAATGTAGGTTATTTGTTTAAGGAAGTTATAATTCATGTCAGAAAACAAATTTTTTTAAAGAAGCACTTTTGTTTATAATTATGAAAACTGCACAACTATGGAAATGCAGCACCCGCACTGGGATGCACGGCTACTGTAACCGGCCACTCACGCTGCTCGTTCTCATCTTCAGGTGGTAGATGAGCCAATTGTAGTGAAAATCGGTCCGCTCCACGTTCACGGACTTCGGGTGAATAGAAACTAGTCCATCCGTTTTTGTGTAAACTTTCACCCTTTAAGAAAGTTAACATGTAGTTTGTTAAAAAAAATTCTGGGAGATACCAAACCAACCCCAGAATCTAAAAAAGCTCCAGAGGGAAGTTCAGTTTATTTCACAAATTTATATTTGAGGAAATAATTTTTTTAATTTAATAAAACATGGGAAAATATCAGTTAAATGTGAAAACTCTATAAATCATACATCAAATTTTCTTCTTCAAGGTATAATTACTCAACACATTACAAAGGTGACAATAGTCCTTAATTATGTTTCTACTGTACACTGAAGGGCAGAGAATGAAACAAACTGCCGAAATACTTCAAAGTGACTCAGATCAAGAGAATGATCTGCACATAAGACTGTCAATCATGCTACTAATAGCCCTCAATTTACAGAATAATTTTGTGAAATGATCAGTTAAAAAATTTCACAAGTTATGCACCCAGATGAATATAAAATAGAAAATTAGGAATGTTGTTAAAAGGAGTTTTAGCTATAGCTCACTTTTAAAAACCTATTCTAAAATATGTTTTAAATGGTTTCACATTCACCTAGAGCACTCTTCAAAAGGGTGGCAACAATTCACATACCACAAGCCACTTGAGACTTTCAGTGTCTCTCCTTCCTCACTAGCTCATTTCTTAGGCAAAAATATGTCCAACTACTACTGAGGCTAACTCTATTTGTACATATATTTAAAAGTAATACTTTATTTTTTCACAATAGTAAAATCACAATTTTATTCAAAGAGAGAAATTACAAAATTATCTGTTTAATAAGAGAGGGGAAAAAAAATCCTGAAGCAAATCTATTTTGTGTTTTGTGTGTGTGTGTTTGCATTTAAAGTTTAAGATAGCTGTCTTAGAGTCTGATATAATATGGCTACAAATAACCACCATTCACATCACATCACTGAGCTTCTGGGATGATTTCAATACCTGGCTTACGTTTCTCACACTTACCCTGCTATTCTATTTACTAACATTCTTTGTGAGTAATGGGTGATGGCAAGCTGATACCAGGGATGTGCTGTGAGGGAAAGTGATGTCTCTGTAAAAGTTTGCCTTCTCTTAAATGATCAAAAGTAAAAAGAACAAGAATATAGCCCAAATATGAATAAGAACAAATGTACAATGAGCCCTGTTTTGTTACAGAATTTCAAAAGTTTAAGGAGAGAATTGCAAGTACTTCATAATAATCTTCAATGCTTACATTTTTCTTTTTTTACCCAAATTTAGTCGGATTTTAGCAACTTTGGGATATAAACCAGCACAGATGACAGCTTTAATTATCTTCTCATTATCTATTAGGGGTGGAAAGGTAAAGAAAAAAAGAGTAAGATATTGATACAATGGACAAAAACAGCAAGTTATTTACAGTGTTTTCTGCTTTACCTGAATTTATATTAGATTTTGGATCTTTAGGACTTCTACTGCTTACAAATCCAGCTCCAAGAAGATGCTCAGCAAACTGCCCTTTCATGTTATGCAGCATCTAGAAAGCAATGGTAACAAACAGAACTAGAAAACCTTTCATAGACTGATGGCAGTTATAAAGCATATACTCATAAGTAAATTTAGCTATAAACTTTCCCTGTGTTATAAAATACTTCTGCAAAATGTGATGTATTAGAGCAGAGGGTTGGTAAATTACAAAACTGATAAAAACCTGTTCTTGTCAATAAAGTTTTATTGGAACACAGCCACACTCGTTCATCTACATATTATCTATGGCACTATAATGGCAGAGGTGAGTACTTGCAACAGAGACCATATGGCTTGTAAACCTAAAATAGTTATCATCTGATCTTTTAGAGAAAAGGTCTGCCTTTGTAGGAAATAACCACTGATGTTTAAGGATTACTCCACTTTGCAAAAAGACTCATTAATACAATCTTCAAAGTTGTTCTCCACCCCATATTTTGAAAGAAATACAGAAAAGCATAAAGAAAATAACCAACATCCAACCTATATTTCTACTACCGAGAATTAACTACTGTTGCTTACTGGCACAAAAATGTAAGGCCTTTTTTTAAGAAGAAAACATTATTTGGGTAAAAATGATGCATGGCTCAATATAAAGCATTCAAGTAATTTTGGAAAGTACAAGTGAAGAAACTTCCCTAAACTCAATGATGTCAGAAAAAACATTCACTCAGAAATAACAGTGCAGACACTTACGTATATAATGACAGAAGAATTAGAAATACTATCCTAACAATGGGATAACAGTATAGAAGCTGTATAAAAGTATCAAAATTAATTCTAGTTTAATTTTTAAAAAGTTAAATGGAAATGAAACTGAACTAGGTGAATTTTACATTTTCATAATCATGAGCTGTTTAATAAAGTAGCCTTGTAAGCTTACAAGAAGAGACTATGAAACATAAAGCTGGTCATATTTAAATGTACCTTCCTTTTATGAACTGTGTGTGGCTTTAGTTTCCCAACATAATTTCTCTTATAACTGACTCTCTGGTTTACCTCCTGTTTTTTATTACAATTATTTTTTATTGTCCAAGGTAATAACCTTTACATTCTATTCTGTATCCGTAATCCCTGGTTTGTACTTGGTGTACATTTACATAATTTCGGTGGACACCTCCAGCTGATTTAGCATGCACTCTCCATTCCTGAATTCTTTTTGATTCATCTCTTAACAGGCAGCATTTCACTATCAGTGAATTTTTCGAGAACAGCTCATGGGTGCAGTACTTCAAGTGCTTTGTTGCATGTCTGTCCTTTCTCTTCATATTTTAATACCTTGACTGAATACAGTACTCTCAAATAACACCTGGATTCAGCCACCTTTCTATATTTGTGGTTCATTTCATGTTTTCTTTTTCAGGAAAATGTTGTTATACATCTCTCAAATACATATTTAATTACACTTGAATTCTCTATGTATAAACACCTATTATCTCCACAGCGGATCAGTCCTGTCTTCCTGTCTACAAGCTTTTTACTTATTGCTTTAATGTTTTCCTTTTGCATCTGTAAACTGATTCCCTTAGGCCTTTCTTCTATGGCAATAATTTGCTTTAAAGGGGTGTATATTTTGTTCCTTATCATTCTTCTGGTCTTTAATTTTTCTTCTTAGCCCAGCACTTTCCACTAATTCCATTGGTTTGTTTTCTTAGTTTTGTTTACTGAATTCCTATTCTTAACTGCTCCTTACTGTGAAGCAGTTTAAGGCTGTAGTTATAAGGCTACAGTGTCTCTCTGAGTTGCCATGATCCTCCCCTTTGTCAGTCCTTGGGCACTTTTAATAAATGTGCTACATTACTGATTCTTTTACTCCTCTGCAGATTTGTTAAATGTCCAGTCCAGGGTTCATGCCACACAGCTGAAGTGTATGCATAATGGGGAAAGGTGAGGACATTCCTACTCTTACTGACTTGAGATCGCTTCTCCAATTCAGAGCACCTGCCCCACTTATTGTTTACTTTCTTCTGTTTCACAAATGCCTACTGTCCAGTGTTTTCTCACTACACTAAATCAGTTAAAGAAAAAGACACCTACTTAAAAGTTTAAGATATCCTATTTGATATTAAAATAGATTTTAGGAGTATTAGTGAAAATTTTTAGGCTGAAACATCAAAATGTCAACTAGAAAGTGGGTGCAGGAACAGTAGCAGAGCCTCACTGTGCTTTCTTGCTATACTCTAGACTATTGTCTCTTTCCTTAGCCATTTGTTTTTTGTTTGCTATACATCTTTTCTTGTTTTGTTGCAGTTGATTTAAGAAAGATTTTGTATAATGACTCAACTTCTTAAGACAGATTCACACAATTAATCTTTTGCTACCGACCTAACAGTACAAAAATGTATACATATACTCTCTAATACATATGAGAATCACTTGACATCCACCATTACCTGCAGAGTGTTTGAAGACAGAAAATATTCCCAGCAATAGTCTTTTTCATATCTGAAACCACGTCGTCTAGCTTCTTCCCAGCCCTATGGGGCAGAGAAATGAAGAAAACTATATTGTTTGCAAAGCAAACACCGCCTATTCATTTGCCTTTATTTAGGAAACAATTTAATCTTCTATCGATGTTCTCTGTGTAAAAAGGTCAAAGAATTTTGACATTTATAAACTATAAAAAAAAACTCCCCATGATCCTAATTGTTAAGAGATAACCACCACTGAATTTCCAGAGCTTTCTACAAATAAGTACAGTCATAGAGTATCTACAAAATGACACCATACTGTACATGCAGTAAACAAAATACCCACTGTTGAACAAATTTCAATACTATCCAATATTTTTCAACTTCACAAATATGAATTTTTTAAAAAATTTAGCTGGAGGAGGAAAGATGGGGGAAAAGATAAGTAATACTGAAAGAGCTCAAAGAAGAAAAAAAACTTCCCCATACTATGTAATACAAAACTGACTTTAGAGGTTGCTGTCTCTATAAACCAAATTACATTTAAATTTTGAAAAGATGGGTGATAAATGTTTATCCTCAGATAAGCCTGGCATTTGGGAGTAGAAAATGTCTGTATTCTGAATAATGTACATGATTACAATATACTCTATCAAAATGTTAAATTGGAATATAGGTATAGTTTACTCATGAACAGAAAGAGACCTTGTCATGAATGTCAATAAGACAGATACAAGTGAATATCAAATAAAATTTTAAAATCAATTGTTCAATTGTTATAGAAACACGAACATTCTTCTTTTCCAAAAGTGTAAAAATGTAATAAGCTATTACAAAACTGAAAAATGAAGTTAAAATTTTTTTGCAAATGCTCAGCTAATTTTAAACATTCTCACTTAGCAATTTATTCCTAATACCTATGATAATAGAGTCTAAAAAGTTAAATATGGTCCTCTTCTATTATCAGCTTTTCACTTGAATCAACTGTCACAAGTTATTACTATTTTTTTTTTTTACCTCAAATGCATTCACAACTGTCAGGTGGTCACTTTTAGAATCCTTTGCCAATTCCTTTCTTCTTGCATCTGCGACCTTTTCTTTCCCCTTAAAAAATACAGATGAAGGCAACTTAAACATCTCTGACAGTTTATAACAGAGCATTCTAATAAAAAGCTAATAAAAATTAATCTAAGCAACAACTATTGTGTGTACATAAAAATGCCTGGCCTTTCCTTTGTATCTTTCTTACCAATGGAATGACAAAGGGATCCTTGAAGCTGAGACTGGCAGCAATGGTGAGGACTGGGTCTAAGCAACAGAACAGAGCTCCAAACAGAATCATTTTCCCAATGTGTGGCTCAACTGGTAATCTTGCTAAATGGACTCCAAGAGGTGTCAATTCTTCCTGTTTATCCAAAGCATTCTGTAACATAAGGGTTTATGTTTAAAACATATTATAAAGCATCACATTCAAACTTAATTTTAGTTTGCTTAGGAAAAAAAGGCCACTTGCTCACTCTCTGAAGCCCAAATGCCCGAATACTGTTCAGCTCTAGTTTTCTTTATCAAAACTTAAGTTTTGAAGTCAGCAAAGGTTAAATTTATATAAGTAAATACTAAATCCGTTTCTTGATTTTACTATAAATGTAAGGAGAGAAATGAGAAATAGCACATTAAGAAACCTTCAATCAAATAAAGAAAATCACCCACAGCAAGTTATAGAAAAAATAAAACAAAAACCCCCAGAAAATATTACATATTTGGAATATACAATGCATAGCCTCTCCATGCTAGTAGTTTAGGAGACATGAGACAGGAAGGCAAGAGATAATGAACATTACCTACAGCCTTGAAAAATGGAGTGACTTCTGCTCTGATTACCTAGTAATTTGGTCCAATCATCCTACTGAGCATAGCTAGCAAAGCTACTTGAGGACACAGAGGAGTTAACAAAAGAATTACAAAAATTACAAGTCCAGGACTTGGGGAATATCGGAAGTCCAGAGAAGTGAGCCTAATGGTGGGGCTTTTTCCCCAGCAGAAGCAACATAAATCCTCCCTGAAGGAAATGATCACCATCCCAGACTTAAAATTTTCATCTACAAAGAACTTTGTAAACAGAAAGTCCAGTACACAAAAGAACTAGGCATACAAGAAAATATGAAAAAGTAACAAAATTAAAAAAATATATATATGTCCGATCAGATACAGACTCCTACTAAACATTTATAGCAGAAATAACCTTGATCTCACAAAAACTCAGAGAATAAAAAAAGAAAAAGTATATCATTCTACCAACTTGTTTTTTGAACTTAGCAGAATCTTGGTACCTAAACTTGACAGGGACATTTGGAAAAAGAAAAACCAATGAATAATCTTACACATGAGAAACCTAGAACAAAATAATCGCAAATCAAATCCCAACAAATTAGGTTTGTTTCAGGAATGAAATTTGGTTTCAACTTTGAAAAATCAATGTAATTCAAAACATTACAAATTAAACAAGAAAAATCGTATCATAATCTCATTAGAGGCAGAAAAGGTGTTTGATCAAAATCAGTTACCCCTGCTGGACAGAACTCTCTAAGTAAACTTAAAAATAGAAACTTCCTTGACAGCTTCTACAAAAAAATCTTTAACAAACATACTCAGTGAATTGTTGACAGCTCTCCCTTTGAGCATAAGGACAGGAGAATGCACATTATCTATCACAGCACTTCTGCTCAGTATTGTACCAGGGGTCCCAGAGGACTGGAAATAAACAAAACTGTAACTACTTATGGATGTGACTGTGTATCCAGAGAAAAAAATCTACATACAATTCTTAGATAGTTGGGTTTCACAGCACTGATCAATACAAGGTCAATATTTAAACCCATTTCATTCTTGTATATCAGACTCACAAGAAAATAAAAAATTAAAATTTAGGGTACAATCCCAAAATACAACCAACCAAGAAATAAATTTTTTCAAAAGTTGCATATAACACATACAGAGATGGCAATGAAATAAATACTGAGAGACTAAATACCTAGATAAGTGGGATAATGTTCTGGTTTGGTAAGACCTAATACTGTAATTAAGGGAGGGTAGCACCAATTCAAGAAAGAAACAGAGACCAAGGGCAGTACAAAGCCTACAGACACACAAATCCTTGGATACTAAGTCTATGACAAAGGCTGCAGAACAGGGGCAAGGACAAACTCTTCTATAAATAGTGTTTGGTCAACTGGATCTACATCTGTAATAAGTCGCGCCTTCTACCTCACCACACTCCCCCCCCACATACCCATACCCACCCCCACAAACTGCAGATGGATTATGTATCTAAGTGTGAAAAACAAAACAAGACCGACTAAAGGACGAGAAGCAATAATAAAGAAAAAGACTGATGCATTTCACTACATTGAAATTAGAAATTTCTGTTTAACAAAACACTATTAAAAAGTAAAAAAGGTAAAAATACAGATAAGTACAATACACAGCTGACGAAAGGCTCCAATCAAGAGTAAACAAGAAATATGCTACCATCTCCCACAACGTAACACAAAAACAGGCATCAACAAGCTATGAAACAGTCTCTTCAAATGGGAAATAAACACATGGAAAGCTGATCGCAAATTCAGTAAACAGTCATGGTAATACAAATTAAAACCACAAATTAAAGCTACTACATATCTACCAGCACGCTCAGAACAAAAGATTACCAAGGGCTGGTGAAGCTAGAGCAGTGAGAACTCTCACCTACCACTGGCACAGGTAGGAGCGCAAAGCAGTTGGACAGCTTTGGAAAACGTTAGGCGTTTACCTACCAAAGCTGATCATCTACATACCTTATGACCCAGCGAATTCACTCATAAGTATATACCCATGAGAAATACTTCTACATGTACACCAAGAAACATTCAATACTGAAGAATATTCATACCAGTAATATATGTAATAACCTCAAATTAAAAATAACCACAGTGTCTATCAGTAGTCAAATAATAAAATATGGTAAAGAAATGAAAATGAATGAATTACACGGAAAAGCAAAAACACAGGTCAACCTCACAATGTTAAGTGAAAGAATCCATAACCCCGTTACCCCTTTCAAAAACCCACCCCCACACCCTTTTCATGTAAAGTTCAAAAATAGGCCAAATTAAACAGAGTTCTTTATAGAGATGTGTACTTGTCTGGTAAAATCATCAAAAACATCCAAGATACTACCATTAAAGTCACAACAGAGGTTATCTTTGAGACTGAGGTGCAGTGAGTGATTGGGAGAGAGGGTAGGAGGTAGGCTTTTAGGTTAGGATAGTGGGAATGTTCTTACTCCTCAACATGAGTAATGATTACGCAGTGCTCACTTTGTGATAAATCATTAAACTGGACATTTTTGTTTTGCTCTTTTATCCTGTATGGGAATGCTGTAATTCATAATAAAGTTTTTTTTTTTAAAACACGGGCTCCAGACCCTACTGTTGGCAAGAATTTGCCAGCCTTTTCAAGATTTTGTTGTTTGCAAATGATTACATCAAGATCAGCTCTTAAATTCAGTTGGGAGAGGGGATGTCATCCTGCTCAGGCTTTAAGTCGAGTTGCCCTCTGGTCCCTCTCTACCATAAATAGTAAGTTGATCCTGAGCACTACTCAGCTCTCCAGCTATATTTATTAGACAAAAGCCTGAAGGGGAGAGGGGTCACTAATAAAACTGTACTACTTCCTAAAATACCACTAGCCTCACTAAATCTAATCTACAGTTCAACAAAGATGGTTAGATAATATACAAAGCTTTTTCACTTAAACAACTTATTACTTACATTAAAAGCTATTGCAACGTTCTAATATGGGCCAAGTTCTCAAAATAACCTGCATGGATAGCTCAAATAAAACTGAAATATGTAAAGTATACTATGGCATTCTCTAACCCAGCACCAAGCAACAGAACTTGCAGCGATGACAGAAATGTTCTATTTCTGCGCTGTCCAATACATGTGGCTAGTGGCTACTGTACTGGACAGCACAGCTCTAACCTCCTTCCTCCTCTCTGGGCACTAACGCACAGTACCTTCCTCCTCACTCTAGGCACTAACTCACATCTTGTGCAGATGGCTATTGACTTCATAAAATAAATGAATAAGTAAATAAATAAAGGAAAAAGCTGTAAGAATAAAATGACAGGTAGGAAAATATGATATTTTGGATAAAAGTCACCTGTTAGTATTTCTTCAGAATACAAGAGCAGCCTTTACAAAATGTCCATACTGTCATTAAATTATTTAGACTTGACAAAAGCTCTGAAAATGTACGGTGATCAGAAAGAGTAGAATAAACCAACCAAATTCATTTCAAGAATACAAAGACCAGTAATTCAGACTTCAAAATCGTATATAATTTTAAACCAAGCCTACAATGAAAAACTGTGTGGAAAGGGACCATTTTTTCCATTTTAATCTTCTAACTCATATTTCATACACTCAGGTGAACAGCCAACTAGTGTATAAAATTTGACACTGCACCTTCACTGGTCCACCTTGCAGTAACGAGTAAATATTACAATTAGCTGGCTTACATGCTCTACCACTCTACATCTGTGTTACAATAAAAAAACACCAAACTTACGAGTTCCATTAGGTGTTTTATGGAGAGTGACACTGCTTCATTTGATGGTGGATCCATTAACCTACTCAGAAAATGAGCGATTCCACCTAGCCTTAATATCTGGGGAAGATAAATATAATTAAAAATGTACAATATAGTCACACAACAGTTTAGTCCTGCCTATGTCACTCATTTGAGTGAAGCATCAAGCCTATACATGACTTTCAAGTTGGTTATTTTACTAGGATAAGTAAAATTCCAGCTGTGATTCTATAAAAACACGTTTAAAGGCAGATGTACTACTTTCTACCACCCACCAACTCTTACTAATGCAGAAGTAGTTGGTTAAAATCTCAACAAACAAGTTGATCACCAATTATTTTCAAAATAAGGATAACTATATGAAAATATATAAAATACTGAAAAAAAGGGTAAGTAGTTTATAAAGACGGAAAAAACCTTAGATGTAGTAACAGTAGCTAACATTTACTCAACACTTAACCATGTGCCAGTAAGAGTTTTATATGAGTTTAATTTAAATAACTTGTCCTATGTAACAAACAGGGCTTGTTAGGGGAGGTGGCGGGATTCAAACATAGGCAATCTGGCTCCAGAGCAGCACATGATTAAAAACTTTAAAATAAGCATCTGAAGGAAGTTTATAAACATAGTTTACTAACACAGAGAGAAAAAAATGCATGGTAAAAATTAGAGCCCCATCCCCATCCCATTTAACTGAACGGCCCACCTAATTTACCTTTATTTGCAAACAAAGTTCTTCCAAAGGAGTTCTCAAGATTTCTGGCAGTTGATAGTCATCTAGAAGGCTTGCTCTGAGACCATTGTACAGATGATAGCAATGACCAGGTTGAACTCTTAAAAAAAAAAGGGTGGGGGGGGGGGGGGAAGAAGCATTTATCAATGAATTTTTAGAACTCCAGAGAAAACAGTAGGTAGGAAAAGTAGCCAAAATCTATTTCTTACAAGCCACATCATAACTAATTGTTATTTAACTTTTACTAATCATATATGCCTTCTCCCAGTATATTTTGAATAGCCTTAAATCCACTATCCCTATGTCTTAGTTCTAAGGAATAGAAGATTCCCACCCCCAACAATAATTTGGTTCCCTATTTCTAGCTTACAGAATCCACACTGCTGTGCTCAATAACAGCAGTCTACTAAGATTCATCCCTATATGCCTTGTGAACATTTTATGTAACAAATCCTGACATTATGTTAACCTATCTATATTATTTGAAATGCTTTTAGGTATGTGCTACTTAGTGAGGTCTCAAAACAATATTGAAAAATTTTTCCTTCATTGTTTGAATCTAGTGACATACATGATATTCTCTGGACTATATTAAGGACAGACGTGAAAAGGTAAAAATATTTATTTCATGTATATTCAGGCAAAACAAATACTTCTATGGACTCTTGCTGCTATAGGAGGAGGTCCTTTTCTTATTGGAATAAAAATAAATTCTAAAAATCTTAGCTTGTTACAAGTTTACAAAAAAAACCATTATCTATTATATAACATGCATGCAGAAACTAAGAGTGCTTCCACTGAGGACCACATAATAGTTTCCTCTGACTTCCAAATATTCATCAACCTAATAAGGCTTTGCTAAAGAATTTTACATCTATGGAGCCTACATGGGACTATCTTCCATTTGAATTAAAACACTGTAATTCCACAGTTAACCTCCACTAGGATAGTGGAGATGAAGAGTTAGATAAAATGTAATACACATCATTTATTCTATTTTCATAATTGTTTCATGAATCAAACCTAAAGCCTAGTGTGTGTACTATTCATATAAAAGTGTGACAAAGCCCACTCCCTATGATGAACATTTTTTCAGTCAGTACCCAGTGGTGATAGGTCTGCATGGGAAAACCCGTCTTGCTGGGTCCCCAATCAAGTTATCCCCTAATAAGTGATTAGAAGTGTACACTTCTTAGACTAAGCCGCAACTTTGGCTCATCAGCATCAACTGCATAATCTAATAAACTACCTGGAAGTCAAGTTATACTGGGACAATCTGCAAAGATTATAGAAGTGTGTCAGTGCTTTATAGATATATTACAAACTTCAATAAAATGGTCTGTAATGTTTTCTTTCAACTTTCCTTACTTAAGCCAATATCTGAAGACTAAGGGAAGTTTTTTGATTGTAAAAGACAAGAGAAAAACTCTCTTCTACAACTCCAAATATGATTCTACCATTCGCATGATTAAGAGTATAAAAATACTGTGAAAAAACACACAAAAATCAACAGTAAGTGCAATTATTTGTTAAAGACAAATCATTTGCCTACCATTAAGAAAGAGATACTTTTATTTCTTATGCTACCATTTACATCGGTGGAAGGAAGGTACTTCTCTTGTGTTTTCGTTGCTAACTAATGATGAAAACCAGTACAGCTACACAGTACAGACTGCAGAACCAGACTACCTGGATTCCAGTCTTGCCTCTACTACTTACAAAGCTGTGTGACTTTGAACAGATTATTTAATTTCTTTGTACCTTAATTTCCTTACCCTTAAAATAGATAATGACCTACCTTATAGCACTGTGCTGAGAATTAGCAAGTTAATATATAAAGTGATTAGGAAATGACCTGACATTCCAGTAGTATTAGTTATAGTAATATATGCTTTTTAAAAAAGAATTAAAATTACAGGTAACTAATACGAATTATGATAAAGAATATTAACTTTAATTAACTGAATTGAGGAATAAGAGAAAAATCATAAAAAAGAATTCCAAAGAATCTATAATTAAAAGACTTTCCCATTTAAAAATGTGCTATAGTGTTTTAAAAAATATGAAAGGTAACTCTAATAAATAAGATTTTAAATGCCAGCAACACATTTTGCTACATAACATTTTTGTGTGTTTTTTAAAGGCTTCAGACAAGGTCCCATCTTACCTTCCAGCTCGACCTTTCCTTTGTTTGGCATTAGCTTTGCTAACCCACTCAGCAGACATTGTACTGATGTTGTTCTGTGTGTCGAAGTGTGTCTCCTTGATTTTTCCTCCATCTATCACATAAACTACATCATCTATAGTAATACTGTTTGGAAAATAGATATATAAAATATTAAAAAGATATCAAAAGCACATTAATCTATGACAGGCCTCCAGATAGGGATTTTAGAGCATTTCTAATTAGATCACATTGATTTCAGCAGTTCAGGGTTTTCACCACTCTTCCCGCATTTACCAGTGTTACGGGACCAGCACCTCATCGCAGGCAGCCTCAGCAGCTGCAGTGGCAGTGTCGTGCCAATTCTGCAGATCACGGGCTAGGTTCTTGCTTGACAGCCAAACTTCATAGCTTGCCAGGTGACTTTGGTACCTAGATTTCTGTGCCCTGCCTCCTACTTCCCAGTGCCATGGTTTAATATTAGCTTCCACAGAACAATGTTTTAGTGCTGTACTGGTATATTAGTTGCCCAAGAGAGTACAACACATTTTAAAGGCTGTATAGAACTAACTGCCAAGTTACCAAACAACTCCATCCCCAGCCAGCAAAAGGCAAACAGAATAAAACTGACATCAGCTCCCATGGTTCCTTAGGAAAGCTTTGGGGGAAAAAACACTTAAAAGGCCATTTCTGAAGAGGGCTAAAAAATTATAGGTTAAAAAGTTTTTTTAAAAACCCAAACAAATCTATGCCACTACCATGACTAAATTAAAACAGATTTTAAAGAAATTACAAAGTATTCTGTAGACAAAAAAGATTAAGGTATATTAATAATTTGTGGGGCTTAAAATACAATCCCCAGCAGTTGACATTTTAAACAATTCTTACCTAGTCTCTGCAATGTTGGTAGCAATTACTATTTTCCGAACACCAGGAGGGGTTCTTTTAAATACCTGTAAGAATAAATACATCAAAACTCCAAAAGTACACTAATTTCTTGCAATTAGAGGAATTACTTCAGATACTATTCATTTTTAGTGCTGTGTTTATCTGTTGACATGTACACATCTAATATTTATAGATTTATAAGGTATACATCATTTTCAATACTATAAAATTCCCTTTTGGTAAACCAAATTAAATCTTACACAGATGTCAAAACATTATTACAAACAAGATTTTAAATTTGACAATTTATACAATTTTTTTAAAACAAAAATTGGATAGTTAAAACATCTTATTGTGTTGTCAAACTTTTAAGAGGAGGAGAGAAATTTAGTTTAAAGATAAGAATTATGAATTACCCAAAACTATGTGGGTAAGGACACCAAGCAACCAGGTAGATGCCAACTCATCAGGATAAATGTTAGCTGGCTGTACCATCATACATGGGCTTTTGAGATTAGACTGAATTAAAAAAAATCCTCTTCAAATGCAGAATCCTACAACAATGCAGCCTTGACAAAGCCATCGAGTAGATGAAAAGAGATACTGCCAATGACCACTTGGCTGTAAAGCAAAAAATGTATAAAAGTGGTAATAGAGAAAATGTTGTTTTCCAGTCTAGTCACATAATCTCTAGTGAAGGAATAAAAAATTGACTGTCAGGGTGTCAGAGATGGAAATGCCTCCACATGGGACACTCTGCTGTGCAGCCTTTGGAATCAAGAGTTCCCTCTCTTTGCTCTTCTCTTCCCTCAGGTAAGCACTCTATACCTAACTCAGCTGGATGAGCCTTACTCAGGACTAAGGTAGCAGCAGAAAGGATATTAAAAGAGTCTCAATAAAAAATGTCTTGATATTTTCTTACAAAGAGTAGAAAAAAATAGAAGGGCCCACATACTGCGTTCCAGAATTACCTTTTCTCTGGGAATGCAGTGTTAATTCTAACAAAGGAAATCTCTGAATCTGACTGAGACAAAATATTCAAAACCATAACACATTATTACCAAAACAGGAAATCTCATACCTACAAATGAGACGTTTGAGCTGTTAAATCAAAATTTCAACTATCAAGATACTTAATTTCTACGTTATTTTTATTGCTACTCACATACCTTTTATCTTTTATTCAGAAAAGCCAAGAAAGTTATTGGTAAAACCTATCTTTAAACTTGCCCCCAATGTTGACAAAACTAGTTTGATTTGTGAATTAACCTCTCTAATTCGTATTTTTGTAAAATCACCCGCTGAAGACTCACTTGCAACCATTCTCAAAGAAGTATTTTTTATATGGATTTCTACTTGAAAATATAGCTTAAAAATAAAAAAAAAAACAAAAAAACACACACAATAAGCAGTCCTTTAAGCTTGTCTCCATTTGAAAGACAGTGAATAAATTTAACAACATACCTGTGTCTGGTTAACTGTAGGCATCAATGAATGTAAAGGTATAATAAGAAACTTGTCTGAAAATTAAAAAGAAAGTTAAACATTAAAATAGTTTGCAGAAAACCTCCATCAGACATATATGGAACAAAATTTTAAGAAACTATATTCATATGTTTTAAGTTTCAAAATGAAATAGCTCAAGCCCATTCACGATTATTAATTGTTTGGTGCAGTATAGTTAAGGGAAGGAGAGTGACTTAAGAAACATAGGTAAATTTCACGTTTAGCTGTGGTTACAAAAAATGCAACCTGACTTAAATCTCTAGCAACACTGCCCAAATGAATCAAGACAGCTACATTTCTCCCAGAAAAAAACCTGTTGTTATTCAAAAGAGACTCTTTGAAACCCTTCTGAACCTAAAAATAGTAAAATGCTGTCAAGCAATTGGTATTGCTAAAAAATGCTCCAAATTACTTCTCTGTGACATTTGAAATAAATCAACTCAAACTAAAAATACTTAATTCAAATTGAATCAAGCCTTCAGACATAACTTCCTGTTTATAGAAAATTCAGGTAATAGAGAATCAAATGAAATGATACCAAGAAGAAGATACAGACAAATCCAGAGAGCAGACCTAGTCTTTCCTGTAAGTCATCATCATGGAAAAATAAGGAGAGATTGGGAGTGATGTTCTAGAGCTAGAGCCAAAGATTTATCTGGTTCGACTTTTTCTATAGTTTGAACAAGATACCTGTGAAAGACAGGTTGGAGCACAATGGGGAAAACCTGATTACAGACTGGATTAAATGATGCTGATGATTAGGTATGATAATGGCACTGTGGTTATTATAAGGAATTGTCTTTTTTAGTGATGATGCTTATATATTTACAGATAACATGTGATAGCTAAAGCTTACTTTAAAAAGGAAAAAAATTAGACCATAAAATTGTTTCATTGGAGTCAGATATATGGTATTCATTATATGATTTTCCTGGTTTTCTGTAAGTTTAAAATGTTTCATTACAAAGTTATGAAAATGCGCAGTCAGGGATGCTGAAAATAGGAACAACTTTGCCGAAGACAATATGATTAGGATAAAAGAGTATATATTGCTGATATTACACAACCAAAGTAGTCAACAGGAACCAAGTCTCTTATAAGGAGACTGCAAATGTTGATAAGCATTTGATAAATTCAGGTTCAAGATTTACTTTTCAGTCAGCTTGGAGTTCGACAAATTTCCCTGCCTTTTACAATGGCTAGCACTAACTGATTATGGCTAAGCTTTTAAAATACAGTATGAGAAAAAAATACTTGTTAAATTTTTTAAAGACTTCCTTTAAAAAAAACTGAGCTGGTGGTGAAAGTATAAATTAGCATCTCCATTCTTGAGAATAATTATTTTAATTAGAAAGTCAATTATAAAAATCTAGCATATCACACACAACCTTTCCCCACTCCTGCAGAAATATTTCATTATTACAGTATATATTAATATTACAGTATGTATCTGCCCTGCATTTTTCTTTGTAAATATATATGCACACTCACATTTTTAAAACTAAAAGATTATAGAATAATGTCTATGGTGGATGGGAAAAAAGGCCCAAGTTGGAAAACTCAACCCTCCCAGCCCCCCCACCAAAAATATTCCAACTGTTTAAGAAAATAATTCAGTGTAGTTTAATCACGACTGTACTTTTTTCTATAGAGAAAGGTTACCACTTACAAAAAAAGAAAAAGCAGTATTTCATTATAGAGAAATCATGGTAATCAGATAAAAATATTTTTCCAACTTGAGAAGAGTAAATAATTTTAATTATAAAGAATGCTCTGAGAGCACTACCATAAGAGGATTTAACCAATAAAAAATATACCCTTTACCATTTCAGCCAATACAACTAAATCAAAACTGTTTTTTAGTTTTATAGTTAAAAATGTGTCAAAAGTACTGCAAGAGAGTCAAGTTAGAAATTATATTCAGAATTATAAAACATTAAATAGAATTAGCTTTGGATTTTATTGATTTGAAGTTAAAAATGACACCTGAAAATGCTGTAACTGAATTTTAGAGGAGAAATATGTCCCTGTGCATTTCTCTAAGGTAAAAGAGGTTATGCCTCTTAAAACATGCTGTTAAAGAGTCAAGTCATCTCAGAAGGTTTTAAAACTTTAGGTCACATCTTAGATTTGGGGTGAGGATAAGGTCGGGTAACTGAAGTTTAAAGAAGTGCCATGGTGACTATTGTATAGTCAGAGATGAGATTCACTGGATTAAGGGATACAAACTCACATGCCAACATTTATCTTTAAGGGCTCAATTTTATTAGGCAAATTTAGGAGGAGAGATAAAATATTCTCACCATGATAACACACAAAGAACTTTACTATATACCCACCATCTTCATCTGGTGACCTAGAATTTCTCACACACACACACACACACACACACACACACACACACACACACACACAGGACTTTTGAAAAAAAACCAACCTAGGCTAAGACCACTGAGTTCTCACACTGAGGTGGCCCTACAAGCAACACTTCCTCAAATGAAAGATAAAAACCAGGCTACATATGATACAAGTACCACTCTTGGAATTGCAATAAAATAATTGCTATAATACCTGATTTAAACATCACTTGTGACATCAAGAGATCATGTAAAGTGCTGATATTGTCCCAGCCTGGTAGAAAGACCAATATTGCACCATCCTGTGTGGAGGGGAAATAATCATTACAAAGGAACACATAACAAAATATACAAAGAGTAAAAATCTCTGCACTTACATCTTCATTAAAATTTTACTGCCTCAGGATAATTCTGGTTACTGATTATAAATAAAGAGTACAAGCTCACTTTTTTAAAATAGAATTTATAAACCAGATTTTTCATTTGTTCAGTCTTTTCTTCAAATAGGTCAACTATCTAAATCATTTGGTATTTTGAGATTCTCATTCCTGGTGTCAAAAGCAATTTCTTCCATAAGCTATTTTTAAAAAGCATTTAAAATGCCCTAGCCAGCTAGCTCAGTTGGTTACAGTATTGTCAATACCCAGTCTGGGCACATAAAAGAATCAATTAAAAAAAAAAAGTATTTAAGAAAATTTTTTTAATGGCCTTGATATGAAAATAGAATTAAAATTATGTCACTTGAAGAAAGCAAAACTAACCTCTTCTTCCAAAACAATGTGTCGAATTAGGGCAGCAATCAAATTTAGATCAACTTTATCATCATCCATCGTTTCTATGACATCTACAGTACTTGCAGAATACCTATCGAAGTTAAAAAAAACATGGAATACTTGATAACATTTCCTGAGGTTTAACTTTCTATCAAATCTAAACTTTGACTCAAGCTGCAAATGGGGGAACAATCAATAGAGAGGAGAGACCTGCTGGGAAAATAACAGTGTTTACAGCATAGTGTTGGGCTGGAATATGAGACTTGCAATAGACTCCCTAAATATGTACAAATTCAGGAAGATAATTCCTGCTTTTGTTTTAGTCATTCAGTCGCTGTGTTCTGACTGTCAAACAAAATAAGCTCACCTTGCCCGCAGTTCCCGTACGTAAGCCGGCCAGCGCTCTTTATAGGCTGCTTCCTTTTCTTCTTTCTCTTGTCTGTTCACGTGCCCCTGCATGAAACCCCTCTTAAACTGGGACCTGTGTTCTTTTTGTTCTGGAACATATCTAAAAATAAAAACATTCTTAAATAGCTTCACTTTTTAAAAACTCTTTGGTTTTACCTACTGACTTTTACATTTACATGATTTTAAAAAAGTTTTTTTAAAACAATTTCACTCTAATTTCCAGTGAACACTAGTTAAATATCCATTTATTTGCAAGTAGTCATTAACATAAATTCTGAATGAAAATCATTGTTCTTTATCGAAGTATATATACCTCTAGATCATTTTAAGCAATCAAAATTAGAGTAACTTTCACCTTCAATTTAAGTTTGCTCTAAAGTTAAAATTAAGTCCAAAAATAATAGTTAATGTTGCCTAGTAAAAGGCTCCGATTTTACATATAGCAGGTTTCCAAACCTGAGTACACATAAGAATTCCCTGGAGAGTTTGTAAATTATAGATTCTGAAATCCTATGCCTTGTGACTTGGATTCGAGTCTGACTGGGGTCTGCTAATCCAGGAATTTTCAATAGTGCCCCAAGAGACTTGGATAGTGTATCTATAGGTGTACAGACCCAGGCTTGAGAACTAGTTAGTTCTGCTCAGGCCCACAGACAGCTAGTGGCAGAGCCAGAATCAGCCCTCAAACCTCGTCTTTCCAGAGCTACGGAGGACGCCACCCTGCCCACTATAAGTGGGTTCTGAGAGCATGAAGGTGGAGAGAGACAGAGAAAAATGAACTAAACCTGAACCCCAAATTCCCTCAGTTTGCTAGGGGACAGCATCTAGATGGAATGGGGGGTTTGGAGCATGGGTTTTGTGAGTCAGACAGATTACAGGAATGATATCCCTGCCTTGACACTGACTACCATGTGTAACTCTCTGACCTCTAGTTTCCTTATTTGAGAAATTAATACTCTGATAACTGCATCGGCATAAGAAAAAAAGCAAAAAGGTGACAGAGTGAAGCACAGTGCCTGATACACAGCAGACACCCAAAAATGTTAATCCCCTTCCCTCTCAGTACCTGTGACCCAGGATTCCCCTAAGTCTTCGATACATATAGAGGCACCAACTGGAGGTAGGGCAACCTGAGACAGAGATTAGTCCTAATCAGCAGGATGGACCCACAGTTGGCTCCCTTCCCAGCAATTCCAACAACAGAGGTAACCTTCAACCCCCACCCCAAGGACCCAATCACAACCCTCCATCTCATCTCACCCTGCTTTCTTCCCTACTTCCCTGTACTGCAGCTCTTCTGGGAAGGCTAGGAGTTTCTGCTGAAAATTTTTACCCAAGGACCACCCTCCTTCAACTCCCCTTTCAGGGATGGCTCCTGACAAGTACAGAGATACTATCTTTTTGCTTCAAGAGGCCCCTTAGCTACAGCTTCTTGTACATAATCTGCCTGCTTAAGAAAGCAATTCTTCTTTGTGTAATTTTAGATTACTGAGCCCTGAAACTTTGTTTTCATTACAGCCAAGCTGTTGACTATTATTCTCTTAGAAAACAATTAGTAGATGTTCTATGGTAGGAAGTAGGACACACAGTGGGAAAAGGAATTGAGGAAGGGTATTAAAAAAGAAGAGCATTGATAAAGCCAGAGCATGGAAGACAAATATACTATCTCTCTCATACTTATGTTGCACCCTCCCTGACATACACACCTCCCTCTTTCTTAGACTGAATTTCACTATTGCCCTGACTTGCCTAGCCTATCTCTACCATATATAATCTCATTTCCAACACACACTTTCTCACAACAGGCAAATCATACCTTATATTAATAATGTGCATGTCTCTTAGCCTAGATATAAGCTGTGAGGTATCTACTAAACCTCTCACTGTTTTATGCTCAGACCCTAGAGCACAGTGCAAAGCATAAAGTTTAAAAACTATGCCTCCTCAAAATTCAGCTGATGGTGCTCCATGTAAAATGCACAGTAGAATCTTCCTTCTTACCTTTCCACTCTTTATTTTCTCACTTAACAAGTAAGCTGTGGAGTCTTGAACAATATTCTAAGTGTGTCTATGTCTGTCTACATACTTATTCAGATGTTACTAGAGGCCAGGCACTGTGCTATGCACTAGTTACAAAGATCAACAGGACAAAATCCTTGACCTTGAAAAACCTAAAATCTAGTGCAAGAGGCACATATAAAGAGACACATTACAGAGCGGTAAGTGTTGTAAGGGACAGGAAAAAAGTGCTACAGGAGTCCGGATGAGAAAGCAACTCATTCTGAGAGAGGTATGAGAGACAGCTTAACGGACAATGAAGCTGGGATTTATTTTTACATAATCAGTAGTTTATAGGTGAACGACTGATGGAGAAGATGGCAAATTAAGTCTAAATAGAGGAAATAATATGTAACAAAGCACAAAGTCATGAATGAAAGGGCAACGACTGGCAGAGTAGAGAGTGGCACATTTAAGGATGGGCAGGGCAGGCCATGGGATACATGACAGGAAAGGATGGCGTAGACTGTGAAGGGCCTTGACATGATGAGCTTAGGAGCTGATCCTATGGGGCTAAGCTTTTCCAGCCCTTTTCTTATCAGGATACAGATATAATTTTGTACAGCTTCTTGAAGAAGGCAGCTCGTAGCTAATAGCCAGAGTGTTGAAGGGATCAATAACTTGGGCGTACCAGTGAGGTGCTCTGCTATAGGCCATGGTAAGCCAATAACGGTTCTTAAACAAGTTTTTAAAGAGAAATCTCAGGGGTCTTGTCTACAGGGAAAAAGCTCACATGAGATTTTGGGGGGATATACATGGTAGCAGTTGTAAGAGCGAAGACCATAGCGCCAAAAGAGGAACTATAATATTAGCACAGGAGAGATAATATGGACCTTAAGTCTTAAGTAGGAGAAATGAAAATGAGAAGACATTTATGCTCAAGGCAAAAGCTCTCAGGGTTTGCCATTGGGGGGTGGGAAGGGGGAGGAATACAGAATGGCTTAGAGTAATCTGGTTACTAAACAAGTAAAGCACTTAACTTATCCTAGTACATGACTCCTTGATAAATATTAGCTTTTTTGTTTTATAGCTTAGACAACTGGGTAGAGGATTAACATCAGTAATCACTATAAGGCACAATTTTTTTGGTGGAAGTATGGTGGGAATGGAATGTAAGATGATTTTGGTTTTAAAAATGTGAGGTTCAAGGTATCTTTGGTACTGGAAAGCTGTTGAGCACAGAGTTAGATAACAGGTTTAAAGTTCAGGAAGATCCTCAGTTTCGAAGCTCTAGTTCAGAAGGCAGTGAAAATACAGAAGAAGGTCATGCAAATAGGATTGCATAGTGAAATAGCAACAGACTGAGAAAAGGCTAATTGAGAACTCTAGAGGAAAATCATATTTAAAGGGGGGGAAACGGAAGCCTGAGAAGAATGAAAAACCAGGTAGGAGAACCAGAAGTGAGGTTTAAGCCTAAAGACAGAGAGTCCCAAACTTTGCTGCCTAGGGATCTCTGAAAACCACCGATGTCTGGCTGCTGGCACAGACTGTGTAATATAATTAAGGAAAGGGGTGTGACCACAGAATCTGGATTTTTAAAAGGCTGAGGGTGACTTTAATGTGCAACCAAGTGTGGGAATCCCTCATTTAAGGAAAAACAATGTTTTAGATGGATGTGGTTAAGGGCGAGTTTCTGAATTAGAGTTTGACAGAAAAGGTGACATAGTAGTATTTTAAATCTTTTATTTCCTAATATTTACTTACCTTATTTTTTCAATTATATCTTCCAAAAGATACTCCACAACCGGAAAAGTAAAACCAGGTATGTGTATCATTGGACAGTTACCTATTATGGTAAACAAAACATAAGTTTGTACTCAAATGTTCAAAATAAAAATAAACATTGTAAACAAGCCAGTCTATTCTTTTTTTTTAATTTCAGAAAGTGGTCCTGAACTTTTACAGCTCTATCCTATTTTCCATATCTAGTTCAATAATAGGCAGCAGCCTAGTCTTCACTCAATACCATTTTACTGCTACTAAACTGTACATACAACTCATTTCTATAGAGTAACACAGAATACCAAAGGACAAAGAATTTTAAATTGAACTCAAAACTCATTAGTTAGAAGTCTATTTTCTTCATTCGCCAAGATGGTGCCTGTTTTATTGAAATCTCCTATGAAGCATGCCTCTGTGGCATCCAGAATTAGGAAAAGAAAAAAGTTAAAACCAAACCAAACCACCATTAGTTTAAAAAAAAAAAAAAGGATTCTTAGAACTGTTTTCTAAATGTTATTTATGTTTTGTACCAAACAAAACAGTACACACTGTAAACAAAGGTCAACAATGCAGCAGAGATCAAAGTATGTGAGGTGGAATCACAGCTTTGCCTCCGACTTTCATAAGTCTTAGTAAATTACTCAATGCTAGTTCTGGATGCCTCATTAAAAAAAAAAAAAAAA